TCATGTGAAGCAATTTGGGGAATTATTTATCAACTTGTGCTTCTCCAGGTGATTTCGAATAGAGTTTGAAATTATTACCACCAGTAATATATCTACAATTGATGTTAAACTGATTGGACGGTACTTAGAAGACAGTGATCTATCTCCCTTCTTGAAAATCGGTATTACATTCGCTATCCTCCAGGATTCTGGTACTACACCCGTTTTTAAGGATTTTTAAACAAATTTGCTAAGAGCATACTGAGCTCTTCCTTACATTCCTTTAATACTCTGGCAAATATCTCATCGGGACCGGGCGACTTATGAGGCTTTAGCTTGCCTATTTGCTTACTAACATCGTTACTAGTCACTACTTTCTCGCTTACTCTGTACCTCGGGTATCATGTTTAAATTTTCGGTGGTGAAATCTGTTGAAAATATTTATTCAGATTATTGCTCATTTCTCCGTCGTTATCAGTTATCTCGCCGGTATTTTTTTTTATTTTTTATTTTTACGGGATTATCCCACCCGGGCATAGGCCAGTTAATCACACAACCACCACATTCAGGTATCCGTAACCACGCCCACCGACATGACCACCCGTTTTCGCCGTATGATTTCCCAGTTCTTGACAGGAGCAACTGTGAGACGGACCTCCTCATTATGGAAGCCTTGCATCAGTATAAAGTTAAGCCATCCATTTGTGATATGGCTTCCTGTGAATTGTGTTGTGTTTTGTACGTAGGTCTCTCGTCATTTTCATCGGTTTTAAATTATAATGCTCTTTTTTTTTTAATTTGCGGAAGGTAAATTTTGGTATAATGAAACATTTTTATTGTATATCACCTGTATATTTTAAAACTTTTAAAACTTTTGTTTTCTAGGCTCTAATTATGGAAAATGATTTTCCGAAACGTTAGTGATTAAAGAAATCCAACTTAGTCAAGATGTTTGTGTTTTCACTGGTTCTCCTCTTCGTTATAAAACTACGCTTTCCACGTAACAAGTCCATTGCTAAAGTTATGTGTATACATATATATATATATATATATATATATATATATATATATATATATAATTTAAAATCCATGTCCTTAAAAATAAAGTTATATAAAAAAAGTCCAGAAAGCCTGACAGTTAATACCATTGGTGACCTTAGCCCACATCCTATGTGGGTCGAGATTGCCGAAATGGGCCGAGATCACCGCTGTAACTGGGCTGAGATCACTGGGCCGAAGTTACCATGAGCCGACTTCACCTGTATCCCTTTACTTTTGTTCATTATTTTTGTAATCTGAGTGTTACAATATAATGAAGGAAACTTATGTTTGTTTTTAATTATCCAAGGAGTGACCCAGTGCATATCCATCATTTATTTCAAATTCAGGTTTTTATGAGATACAAAAGAAATCAGTATATATCCAAATATGGAAAAGCAAACCCACTGACAGAATTATTTTATTTACAAAAAATACAAAGTATAATTAGTTTCAAAATTATACAGTGACAAACACTTTTCAGGATGAGTGAAGATAACACGCAATTCTCTTAGTGCAGGAAAGACACAGCTTCATGCCATGATATCTGGCCCTCAGTCATGAAATAGGCTTTAAAAGCATCTAAGACTCTTTGTATCATTTGAATGCCCTCTGCCAATGCCTGGGATTTTATGTTGGCCATCATGTGGCAATTCACGCCTCTGTCCAGGTGTGAAAGTGGTTCTCTCTATGTCTTCCCTATCTACCATTTTTGAGACATTAAACCTCCTCTGGATAATGTGTTGTCTAATGGTAGACCCTGCTGCTATATGGAATCACGAAAATTGTGACCAATTCCCAGGTTGCTGATCTCACTTTCTGCCTCATTTACATACAATTGCAGGGTCTCAATTGTTTCTCTTACTTTGAAAACACAACACGCATATATCATTTCTTACTTTTGATCTTTGTCAATTTTTGCATTTCTTTATGGTTCTTTATTATTATTATTATTATTATTATTATTATTATTATTATTATTATTATTATTATTATTATTATTATTATTATTATTATTATTATTATTATTATTATTATTATTATTATTATTATTATTATTATTATTATTATTATTATTTTTATTATTATAATTATTACATTTTCGCCCCCCAAGCCAATATGATAATTAAGAATAGCCCAATCTGGAATGTAAATGGAAGGGTTTACTGCATTCCATGTAGCAATTGTAATGGAAATTATGTAGGCCAGACTGGGAGAGCATTGCAACTCAGCATAAAACAGCACAAGTATAATATTAGAACAGCATCTGAAAGCAGTGCACTTTTCTTTCATGTAAGGAACAGTAACACTGGGCAACAATTTAAAAAAAAAATCCGTAACATGGTTCAGAGCAGCTTCCTTTTGGTAATTTTGAGGTGCTGATTTCAAAACTGGCAATAAAAATTTTCTGACACGTACAGTTTATTTGTTATACAAAAAATAATTCTTACAAATACAAAACTGAAAAATATTATTTTTCCTGTTATTCCTTTTACTTTTATCCACGTCATCACACTAAAATTCAATAGAGAATGAAAACAAAAACTATTAAATTAGCCACTGTATGGGCTTTTGTTATTTTATTTCATCCTTTTATATGTTGTATTGTCCTCCGATTGTAAAAACCAGAAATAATCCCTCATCATGGTAGGATTCCATCTACCCTGCTACCTTTTCCCAAAAACGTCTAATGTCCTGATGAAATCGATTTCCCTGTTCATCACTATCCGCCCCCAGACTCTCTGGAAAAAAGTCCAAGTGCGAATGTAGGAGGTAGACTTTCAGGGACATCCTGCATCCTGATTTTGTTTTAGTTTTCTAAGAGTTCCTCTACAAGTTGACAATAGTTGATTTCCTTGTTGTTTCCAAGAAACCCCTTGACTACATATGTGAAGGATTTCCATGCAGCTAGCTCATTTGCATTCAGTTTGTTTTCAAAGTCGTCTTCACGAAGTAACTTTCTTATCTGTGGGCCATCAAAGATACCCTCTTTGACTTTAGCATCACTGAGCTGTGGGGATTTTCCCTTCAAGTACACGAACCCATCACCCTGTTTGTCCATAGCCTTCACAAAATTCTTCATTAGTCCCAGCTTAATATGTAAAGAAGGTAGAAGTACATCGTTTGGGTCTACCACGGGAGTATATTTAACGTTGCTTTTTCTTGAAACAAACTCTTCTCTCTCTGGCCAGTCCTTTGTGTTGTAGTGTTTTTCTGTTGCTCTGCTGTCCCATAAACACAGAAAACAACAATATTTCGTGAACCCTCCTTGAAGGCAGAGTAGAAGGGCTATAACCTTCAAATCACTGCAGATCTGCCATCTATAATCCATGTATAGCGGTCAGTATTTTTTCCATACTATCATACGTCTCCTTCAAACCAACAGAATGCACTCCTGGAACTGAGGGCTTCTAGTTTCATTATGCGACAATACTGCTTTCAAACTTAACTTGGAGCAATCTGTGAAAGGCCGCTATTCCTTTGGGTCATGTTTTTCTCCCAAGTCTGACATCAGTCCATCTACATCAGTACACACACACAGGGAATCCTACATACTGTAGAATGAAGATAATGTAATATGTATTTTCCTAAAAGCATAAATTCTTGTCTGTTTCGTTAGGAAGTTCCATTCCTGCAGTCTTGATGCTAAAGTTCCGCCTGCTGTTTTGACAGACGGAGATCACGTACAAGATAATTAAGTTTACTTTCTTCTATAAGATGTTGTTCATTGGAAGTTTGGTCAATGAAAGGAGGATCATGGGATGATTCTGGGATTTCTTCCTCAATTTCCTCATCCGAAGTTGAGAGCTCTTCCAAATTAGCCAGTGGTGTAGGTAAAGGGAGGCCATTTCCATGAGGAACGGGCCTTATTGCTGAAGGTACATTTGGAAACTCGATTTCGTGAATTTGGTGAATTAACACAGCCTCGGCGTTGTATTCTCTCCATTCTCCTGTTCAGTATTGTTAACCTTACATTTAATATATCCCTACCAACACAAGTACGTATCTTATATTCCTACATTACATATACACATATATCATAAAAATATTACGTGACTGATATTTTGTATTGCCGTATTTGAATGCAGCACCCCAAAATTAATAAAGTGCAGCGTATTTGAATCATGTTACTGAACCCCTGTCAACTAATGTAATCATCCCATAGATTGAAAAAACAGTATAGAGGTGTTTCAATCAACATGTGTCACAGAAAGACTTCTGGTTAAAGCAAGTTTGATTAGGGAAATAGATTTTATAAACCTTAGTGATGGTCAGTACATAAATTTATTTGTCAGTGGCCCAAGGTTAAAAATGTTTGAAAGCATTTGAGGTAGATGTAGGATAGATGATTAGTGGGTCTCATATTTTCTTACATGACTTGACATGACTTGTTACGTCGCCCATTTTTATAAGCTCTTATTTCGTGTACGGTGGAGGTGGAGTGTGTCAAGTTTCAGGTCTCTAACTGCTTCCGTTCTGGTGCTTTATGGCTGGAACAGACAAACAGTTTTCAAAGAGATGCTCTCTCTCTCTCTCTCTCTCTCTCTCTCTCTCTCTATATATATATATATATATATATATATATATATATATATATATATATATATATATATATATATATATATATATATATATATATATATCGATTACTGCACGAGAAAATTTACTAGTGTAGGTAACCTTTCCATCTCTACTCAGCATTAGAGCATAAAAGAAAAGTCACATTACATCTTCAAGCGCTTCGTGTCGTCATGATCAAACTACTGTTAATTCATGATACTGTGATTTGTCCTCTGTGTTTTAAGTTACTATGAAATTACGTGCTACATTATGTAGTTCTGTATCAGGATGTGAAATGTTCATATACCTACCATAATTAAGGATGGAAGATTAAGGAATTAATATTAAAAGGTAGATGATCAAAGAGTTGCCAGCTGGACCATGAGAATATAAGCTTGGGATATGACCGTCCTCGTCTGACAGGGAAGGTGAATGCCTAGTACCTCCATCTTGGCTCCAACGCAGCTTCTCAGGTAATGTTTTTTCGTAGTTGTGGTGAGATATATTTGTTATCAATTATCCCTTATGTTCTCAGCAAACTTAGGGTAATAATGAACATTCGTCATAACTAAAAGTGTGGGAGGTGAATCCCTGCAGTAAATCTCTATTTTGAGGGTGTTTCTCGTAATAGATCCCAGTCATATCGGGTATATGTCCTAGTGGTCTCCACACATAATGGACACATTGACCCGAATAATAATGGGTCCCAGACTGAACGAGTACCACTACTAAGGGGTCCCACTCATAATGGCTCCCAGTCTTATTGGGTTCCACTCATAATGGGTTCCAGTTTTATAGGGGCGGAATATTCAATCGATCCCACTTTAATGGAAATGATTTGTATTGGATCCTAGTCTAAAGGACCCTCATGTAATGTGCCCGAGAATTAATGTTTTTCAACTATATAATGGGTGCCACTCGTAATGATCTATCTCATACTGGTCCTGATCTCAATGGTATTGATTCGTAATGAACGATCCCAGTCAAAAAATAACCCAATATTTAATGAGTTTTACTCATAATGTAACCCCTTTTAATGGGTTTAACTAGATGAACCCATTCTGTTAGGTCTTACTTGTAACAGAACCCAACTAGAAAGTAATTTTATGTATCTTGTGAAGAGTATTTTGTTTATTAAAGCACTGGAAAAAAAATTCGGGTCGGAGGAATTGTCGAAATTACAGGTCGAGATTTTTCTAGCTAAAATAATTTTTGGCGATAACTTAGATGGTGAGTGGCGCTCATATAATTAATTGGTAATTTGTTGTGTAGAAATATTTCAGTGGGTTCATTCTAAATTTTCATTGTGTTGATAGCTTTATTTTCGTATTGTTCCACGATCGACAGGTCCATCAGGAGCATATACGATTTTCGTGGGCCACCTTCCCAATCCATTTCTCGCACCTGTGACAGGTGTTGCACGAACACAACCCTACGTAATTGGTGCCAATCAACATCCTTATACCCAGTGGGCTCTTCCAGCTCTGCCTAGGCACATTAACGCAGTACGTTCTCCACCTTTAGTGAGCTGGTATTACAACCAGAGGGGTCATCGGAAAATACTGTACATTGCCCTAAATATCGAGCTGGACAGAGCTACTAGCGCTCGTAATAGTAAAAATAAACCTCCGCTTTCCTTCGGCAGGCTATAATTTATTTAACTGTATGTGGAGTCCGCTAACTTTTTTTTACTGGCACCGGTAGTCAGGCTACAATTATTAAGAAGGGCACAAGGGATGTTTGTCAGCTCTAATAAACATACATTCGCCGTTAGCGGCTAGGCACTGGCGATCAGCGGGTACTGTCCATTTGATGTAGCAATAGGAAGTTCCTTTTTAGACGCGTATGTTTAGTGGTAGACAATCTAGTGCAGGGGTTCTTAACCTGGGGTCCATGGATGGGCTTCAGGGGGTCCGTGAAGGTCAGATAAAAATTTAACATTTATATTCACTATATTCTTAGATTGAGTTGTTCTATTTTTGTCAATATATTCCAGATGTTATATATGTATTTTTGGTTACTGAAGAAAACCAGCAAATCTGTAGGGTAGCATGGGATGCTACTGTACACGGTCAGGTAACATACACTTATTTCTCATTTTCCACGGTTTATCACGGCTTGGGAATCTTCTCATATACTGGTAAGGCTTAACTGGGGGCCATAGTATCTTCAAATACATACTTTTTCCGAAATATATTCAATTACCTATGGTTATGTTTTTGGTGAAGGTAGCGAAAGAGGGCCTTAGTTATTATTACTACAGCTGTACCAGCAGAGGTTGGAGACCTCCGACCGCCTTCTGACCACAATTTCAGAGTGTGGCTTATGAGTGATGGGTGTACAGTGTGTGAATATGTGTTTGTGGGTATGTGGGTGCATATGGAGAAAGGCGCGTGCGAGTGTTGTGAAACGCCAAGAACGGTTGGTGCGCTGTATTTATTTGTTTTATCCATTATTTACAACAAGTCTGTTATTTTTTATTGGTCAAAGTTAGGGAGTGGGTGCACGTGGTTAGAGTAGGGATGCATAAATAGAGAGAGAATGGATAAAGTTAGGGTCTGGGTGCGTCAGCAGGGTAGGAAAACACGAAGTCATCAGTCAGTATCATTCATATATTTTCTGAGGGGAACCTTGAAAAATCGGTAATAATGCTACTGAAAATAAGGTTATCTGTCTGTCTCTCTGTCTTTCTGTGAAGGTTTGTCCGTCAGTCTGTCTGTCTGTCTGCCTATCTCTGTCGATCTGTCTTTCTGTCGGTCGATCTGTCGTGCTTATTAATTTGTGTTCATTAGTTATTGCTTTCCATATAAATTTCATATTTTTTTTTTTTTGAAGTCCTAGCTCAATTTGGAAATGTCAAATCAAAGGAAGTACAACGAAGCTTACTTATCCTTTGGTTTTACTTTCATCGCTGAACGTGATGGGACACAAAAGCCGCAGTGTTTCCTGTGTGGCAAGGTTCGTGCCAATGGAAGCATGAAGCCAACAAAGCTGAAGGAGCACCTCACGCCTGTCCATCCTGAAAATGCATCGGACAGTGTTGATCTATTTCGTGCAAAGAAGGCCCGATTTGAGAAAGCTGGAACTTTAACAAAACTTGGATTTGCCCCAACACAAAAGTCTTGTCTTGAAGCAACCTACAAGGTTGCTTATCGCATTGCCAAGCAAAATAAGTCACATACGATTGGAAAGACCTTGGTAAAGCCATGTGCCCTGGAAATGGCCGAGCTGGTTTGTGGCTTGGAGCAGAGGAAGAAAATTGCAGCGGTTGACATTTCTTCTAATATTCTGAAGCAAGTAATGGAAGAATTGGAAGCTACGCCGTTTCCATTCAGCATGCAACTGGATAAAACTACTGACGTCTCTCAGTGCAGCCAGCTCCTGGTTTTCGTCTGCTGATGCCATCAAAGAAGAATTCCTATTTTGTGAGCCCCTTTTGGAAACTACAAAGGCCATCGACATCTTAGAAATGGTGAATAGTTTCTTTGCCAAGCAGAGCTTCGACTGGAAGAAAAATCTTGGTACTTTGTGCACAGACGGAGCACCTGCAATGCTTGGCAACACATCTGGTTTTGCTGCTTTGGTGAAGAAATAAGCTCCCCAGGTCATCGTGACCCATTGTTTTCTACATCGGCATGCATTGGCGTCAAAGACTCTGCCAGCAATTCTGAAAGAAGTCTTGTCTACTGGCGTGAAAGTCGTCAACTTCATCAGAGCCAGGGCTGTGAACCATCGCGTTTTCAAGAGGTTTTGTCAAGAAATGGGAGCAGAATATGAAGTTCTTCTCTACCACACAGAAGTTCGCTGGCTTTCCAGAAGACAAATCTTGAAGCGCTTGATTGAACTTCGAGCAGAAGTTGCACTTTTTTGAGAGAAAAAGAAAGCCCACTCTCAGAACAGTTTGACAGTGAGGAGTTCATTCATGGCTTGGCCTACTTGGCGGATATTTTTGGCCATATGAATGAGGTGAATCTTCCGATTCAAGGCCCTGGAGTCACTATTATGGATGCTGCTGAAACACTGCAAGCTTTTCTGGCCAAGCTGCCACTGTGGAAGAGGAGGTTGGAGGCAGACAACTATGCAAACTTTCCAATGTTAGAGGAAGTGCTTCTGCAGGATGGAATCGAGAGTGACAAGGCCCTGTCAATTTCTCTGCAGGCAGAATTCTGCAGACATCTGGATACTCTGCAGAACTCTTTCAAGGGTTACTTCTGCTCAGGTGACCTAAAAGTTGAAACATGGATTCGTAATCCTTTCCTTGCTGACATATACTGTATCAGTGATGAAGACCCTGCCAAAGATTTCCTCATTGACCTGAAGACAAAGGAAATGTTACGAAATGAATTCAACTCGAAGAGCCTTGGAGAATTCTGGTGTGCGTTGACACAAGCCTACCCTTGTCTGGTAAAGCGAGCTATGGATGCTCTGATTCCGTTTGCTGCTACATACCTTTGTGAGTCAGGGTTTTCAGCACTTGTTTCTGTCAAAACGAAAAGTCGAAATCGATTGGATGTCAAAGATGACATGCGTGTTACCTTGTCAAAGACCACTCCACCGTTTCATCTTCTTATTCAAGCCAAACAACAACCTTCTCATTGAAATTAACTTTTGAGCAGAATTAAAGTTTTGTTTTGTTTCATTTGCACAAGATGATTGTACCTCATTTTTGTATGGAGTGGCCATTAATTTTTGCATAAAAAGGTGTGAAACATAATTCTTTGTTAAGATTGTTTACTTTATCCATACTTTGTGTATGTCATACACTGTACGAGGCAATGAATTTTCAATAAAATAGAGTATATTCATTGCATGCAAAGTTGTGTTTATGTGCTTATGTGCATTTTTCTAGGGAAGGGTCCATAGCTTTCACCAAATTCTCAAAGGGGTCCGTGACTCAAAAAAGGTTAAGAACCACTGATCTAGTGTTTCCTGGAGACAACTTACTAGGAATGGATTTTCTACGACATATTAACTTTCAGTTGTCGCATAGTCCACCGCCTAAGATGAGTTTCTTGTGCCTGAATGATGAGAATTATCCTGCTAGACTTGTCATGCATGATTCAGTCGCTGCTATGATTCGTAGACATAAATATTATAAAGAAATGCGAGAATGGATGTTAGATTCCCTAGCTCCTGCTAATCGGCCATTATCTCGGCCCGTCCCTTCCTCCCAGTCTACTGTGCATATTGTTTAGGATGTGGTCGAGAAGCATCGCCCCCCCCCCCCTAAAGCACTAACTTGTATTGAAGACGCCATAGGGAAACACATAACTAAGGGTAGGGGGTCTTTACGGTTTCATTTACCGAGTCCAAATATATAAGTTTTTGAATGGAGATTTCCCTGCTAATTCCAAATATATGTATTTTTTTCTTTTTGGAGAAATCATTTTTATTAGATTTTGTTATTTGTCCGTGTGTGTGTGTGTGTGTGTGTGTGTGTGTGTGTGTGTGTGTGTATTACTCTAAATAGGAATAAGTGCCGAATATGCCTTAAAAAACAATTGAATTATTTTCCGAATAGGGATAACTTTGTTTTCACTGCTATAACTCGATAAAAATAAATTCGTACAGGGTAAAAATTTGTTTTGTTTCATTTAAAGCGTCATTTGCTTTCATAAAATAGCAAAATTACACAATAAGTAGGTTAGAACATAAGAACATAAGAACATAAGAAAGTGGGATACTGCAGGAGGCCGACTGGCCCATACAGGGCAGATCCCTTTCACACCCATCCCAGCACTTCCATGTGCCTATCCAACTTCGTCTTGAAGCTCCCTAGCGTCCCCGATCCTTCTATAGCACTCGGTAGCCTATTCCACATATCCACAACTCTATTACCAAACCAGTGCTTGCCTATATCCTTTCTGAATCGGAATTTATCTAATTTAAAGCCATTTGTTCTAGTTATTTCGTTATTACTGAGCTTCAGAACATCTTCCATTTTACCCTTGTTAATCCCACTTACACACTTGTACACCTCTATTATATCTCCTCTAACTCTACGCCTCTCTAATGAATGTAAGCCTAAGCTTTTCAGTCTTTCTTCATATGGAAGGTTTCTAATATTATGGATCATTTTTGTCATTCTTCTTTGTACTCTCTCCAAAGAATCTATGTCCATTCTATAATAAGGACACCAGAACTGAACCGCATAATCCATATGTGGCCTCACTAATGCTAGGTAAAGTTTCAAGATAACGTCAGCAGTTCTGTTACTCACAGACCTAGATATGAACCCAAGAATCCTGTTTGCCTTGTTGCGAACGCTAATACATTGTTTTCTAGGTTTCAAGTCGTTGCTAACAAATACACCTAGATCTTTTCACAAACTGAGTTTTCTATTTCCGTGTTACCTAGTTTATACTTAACGTTTGTATTCGTCTTCCTATCTGTAGTACCTTGCATTTATCAGTATTAAAATTCATTTGCCAGTCTACTGACCACTCATGTAAGGTATCTAGATCTCTTTGAAGGTGTTCAAAGTCACTGTCTGAATTTATCACTCTCCCCATTTTGGCATCATCTGCAAATTTACTAATCCTACTAGTTATGCCTAAATCAAGATCATTAATGAATATAACAAACAGCAGAGGGCCTAATACAGATCCCTGGGGAACTCCGCTTTTGACCGCACCCCAGTCTGACTTTAATCCATTTATGCTGACTCTTTGTTTCCTACCAGTTAACCATGACCTAATCCATTTTAATACTGATCCACCTATTCCATGTGCTTCTACCTTCCTTATCAATCTCTCATGAGGGACTCTATCAATGCTTTACTGAAATCTAAATAAATTATATCATATGACTTATCATTATCTACCGCTTCAAATACTTCTGAGAAAAAGCTAGCAAATTTGTGAGACAAGAACGTCCCTGGGTGAACCCGTGCTGAGAAGAATGAATTAAGTTGAATGTTTCAAAGGTGGCTTCTGATTTTTGTAGCAATAATTGACTCTAGCAACTTGCCTATGATTGACGTGAGACTAATGGGACGGTAATTTGATGCTATTGATTTATCACCTTTTTGAAAATCGGAACTACATTTGCAAGTTTCAAGCTTCTGGCACTAGGCCCGATTCTAATGACTTATTAAATAAAACTGCTAATGGATTACTCAACTCATCTCTACATTCTTTTTAATATTCTAGCATATACCTCGTCTGGACCAGGCGATTTATGAGGCTTCAGTTTGTTAATTACTTTAAGCACATCGTTACTAGTAATATTGATATTCATCAACATATTTTTTATACTGTCGTTATATACCTTATGAACTTCTGGAAACTGTGCTAGGTTTTCATTTGTGAATACGGAGCGAAAATGACTATTTAACGTGGTTTTTTATGAAACTTTTCATATAAATGTGTATTTATGATCAACATGATCGTTTATAGCCAGTCTGAAGCTTCCAAAAAGTGAAGTTATCACTAATCGGTATTATCCCTTTGTAGCGTAAAACACGCAAACACACACACACACACACACACACACACACACACACACACACACACACACACACACACACACACACACACACACACACACACACTAATAATGTATATAAGAAAAAAAAAAATATATATATATATATATATATATACATATATATATATATATATATATATATATATATATATATATATATATATATGTATATGTATATGTATATATATATATATATATATATATATATATATATATATATATATATATATATGTGTGTGTGTGTGTGTGTGTGTGTGTGTGTGTGTTGTGTGTGTGTGTGTGTGTGTGTGTGTGTGTGTGTGTGTTGTGTGTGTGTGTGTGTGTGTGTGTGTGTGTGATAGTGTTTTTTTTATATCATACACAATTATATATAGAATAGTTCTGGAACTTTTAAGTGGCAGGGTTGATGTACATACTTGTTCTGGGCTTTCTTTATTGCTGAAGCGGCTATCTACACAGTTACTTAGTTTAGGAGAGAATGTATTGTGAATACCCTCCAGGGGAAGTGTTTGGAGTACATTTTTATTGGAACACTTTAAGTGAAGTTTTCACCCCTGAGCGCGTGGTAATATTCTGCCAATCCTCTCGCTCTGAGCGTGAGAGTGGAGGAGGAGTGTCAGGCGGGGTGTTGTGATTAGTGGGCTTGACCTCGTCTGACTCCTGGTGAAGTTATAGACTCAGCATGTATAACATGAATAAATACTGAGTCATTATTGAATAACTGAGTGAATAACTAGAAATTCATTGTTAAATAACTTAGTGAATAACTACTAAGTCATTGTTGAATAACTTAGTGAATAATTTGGTATTATACATTTGGGTAAATATTTATATACCCTGTATTGCAAATGGTGCTGTTAAACGCTCGGCCACCTCCAACCGAGTCCTCGTGGTTTAAATCCTAGGTGTACCTAACCTTGTTACAATAAAGTGTGCTTTAGCTAAACCTTTTCTTCTTGCACATGCTTATTTAATTCCTTCCGAAAAATCCTCTTAGAAATTATTGTGTACCTATAAGAAATCTTTCTGTAACAAATTATCATAACACTCAAGGAACTGTTAAATATGATCTTAGGTATAATGAAACCAGGTAAGATTATACAGAGAATCCTGTAGTAAGGAATCTGTGTTTCATTAATATAAGATAGAAGTTTAAGCTCATCTGATACAATATGAAGACTGCTGAAATTTATATTCAGGAAAAATGGTATGGGTACCAATTCAGAAGTAATGTTTGTGACAAATGCAATATGATGGCCAGTAGGCAAGGTTGAGATTACATTACTGCTTATTTAACAATAGTCTGGTGCTATATGATAACCTTCGACTTACCTACATCCTAGCATATAAGTATCACACTGGCTTGATTTGGGAAATAGAAATACTGCACATTATTGACATGTGCATGAAACACTAATCGATGTGGTATTGGATTGTATTTACATTGTTGTAGATGCATTAGTTTGTACTATAGCTAATTCAAACGTAACTTCTGCAGCCTGTGTGAAAGCGAAAGCATAAGCAGGGCATACATGCAAGCGTAAGTATGTTGACCTACAATGATTGAGGACTTCATGATTAGTCACAGCAACTAATGAAAATCTTCTTATACTACTATTAGTTCAGTTTGTTTATTTAGAATTGAAAGATCGTCATTCGTTTTCAATGGAAATGATTCCAAGTGCCATGCAGCAAATTTGTTGTTGAGTTTAGTGGAATGTGTATTAGTATTTTCTTATGTGTTGAGGTTGCCTCTAATAAGGGGTAATAATATTCCACTTCATGCTCCTGAAAGATAGGAGTCAGCTGATATTTAGTTTCATCTATATGTAAAGCAGCAACAAGTTGACCAACTGGCAACAACTGTGCATCAACATGACCTAACCCTCCATTCACTAGGTCCCTAATAATGTCAAGTGCCTGTCTCTAGGAGGAGGGATATCTGGTCAGGGAAGGAAGAGGTGTTGGTAACGGCTGGGGACCTGTAGGAGGAGGTCATAGGGCAAATGAGGATGTAGTGAGAGAGGGTGTGAGAGTCGGGTTGACCACAAAGTTTAAAAACAGTGTGGTCAGGCTCAGGTTTACCAATGTACTACTGTAGATGTGGTGAA